AAAAGAAAAGAAGATTGTTTGGAGGTGGATCCGTCAAAATGTTTGCAAAATGTTGTTTTGTTTATTTGTTTGTTTTGTGTTTTTTGTTTTGTTAATAAAATGCATTTTAAAAATCTTAAATTAACTGTCATAAAACCTGTACATAGAAACCAATTTAAAAAGTAGACTGCTGCTTTTAGGGTAATCCACAATGCATTATGGTAAACGTTTGTAATATATAAAGGCGTTTATTTTTTTTAAAGGGGTCATCGGATGCCCATTTTCCACAAGTTGATATGACTCTTTAGGGTCTTAATGAAAAGTCTATAACATACTTTGGTTAACATTGCTCAATGGTAGTGTAAAACAACCCACTTTTTACCCTGTCAAAATCTGCTCTGTTTTCAGCAAGCCATTTTAGTGCATGTTCCTTTAAATGCTAATGAGCTCTGCTGATCCCACCCCTCTCTTCTGTGGGGTGACGAGCCGTTCTCATAATACCGTTTACTTTAGCCGCGGAACTTGCTAACTAGCATGTTATTAGGAAAGGCGAGTTGCAAAGATTCATAAAAGAACCTTATACTCACTTCTTCTGTAGGTGAGGCTGGATCACGAATGATTTGCGCGAACATAAATGCATTTAGGTAGATCGGGGGACGCATACCCTTCAAAAACAAAGGTAATCCACTGCGTCTTCAGCGGCTCAGATGTCGGGAGTAAATAACGACTGCTATGTTCATTATTACATCCAACAACAGAACACCTCAATCACTTAGGAGCCATTCTTGTCTACTGCTCCAGCATCGAAACAATGGTGGACTGATGACAGCTCACTCAGGGCGGGTCTAAGGTAAACCGCTTCTGACAATCAACAATCGTGGGAGGGCCTGGGTCTGTGTGACGTCACACAGACAGGCATCTGATAATGGCTTGATTTGAGAAAGGCGAAATTATTTGACGAGATTAAAAAAAAAAACACTGGATGGATTTTTATCATTATGGTTGTGTACCCACACTGCCAACTCACATTTCAGTTCAAACAACTTGTAAAAGTGCATGTGGCATCTGATGACCCCTTTAACTTGATTGTTTGCATCACTACTTTTCACTGTACTTTTTAATTAAAAGGAAAATAATCACCCCCTCTCCCAATATTAAAAAAAGTTGAAATAATCATGAGCTGTAGTTTTAAGTTGCAAAATGGCAAAATGGTCACTAGTGAGTTAGTTAAAAAACAAAAATGTTGTATTAATGTACAAAACTTTGTTTATTTTCTGCAGTAATAGCAGAGGAGAGTGTGAGCCAAAGAAAAGTGTAGAAGTTCTTCTCCCAGAGTTATTATGTGGATCTCAGTGCTTAGGGACAGAATGTGGATATGTGATCCTGCAGTTTTTGCCAATGGGAATACTCAGAGCAAAGTGTGCATGTATGGACTAACCACGATATGCTGTTACACGACTCGTAAATAAGCTGCTGAAATGCAAGTGTGTCATGTGAAGTGCTGGAATTTTAGCAATAAATCAGCTGTGGTCGCTGTAGTCGATTCAAGACTTTCAGCACTCTTTGCTGGGAGAAAGGATTGTGTAGATCTGAGGAGCTTCTTTAAATGAAGAAATCAACCAAAATCTTTTTTTCCCCCAAACCAAAAGATCTTGCCTGATTTATTGAGTTAGAACCAAAATACACATCCTTCAGTGAAACAGTTATGTTTTTACTTACAAAAGATGTTCTGTAAATGGTCACTGTTGACCTGTCTGATGTGTGTATAATGTATGTGCTCTTATGTGTGGTTCTATTGATCTGTTTTGGCAGGCTGCTCTTCATTGATGCAGAGTTCCGCACACTTACGCTGAAGGCAGAGGACTCTGCAGGTCGTCAACATGCCATTACAGTTAAGCTCAAGTCCAAGGTCAAACTAAGGGTCAAGCACTATTTTATTTATTATTTTCTCTTCCTTATTGATATTTTATGATCAGTTTTTTCATGGTCCTTTTTAAGGGTTGTATGATTTACATTCAGTAAAAACTAGGTTTTTTCAATTTGACAATAATTTGGTATCATTATTAATTTATCTCTTATGCTTACCAAAGATACATTAATATTCTGAAGCATTATTACAATTTAAGATAACCATTTTAGTATAATACAATTTAAACTATAATTCATTCTTGTAATAGCAAAGCTGAATTGTTAGCAGCCATTAGTCCAATCTTTAGTGTCACATGATCCTTCAGATATAATTTTAATATGCTCATTTGCTGCTCAAGAAACATTTATTATTATCATCATTGTTGGAAACAGATGTGCTGCTTAATATTTTTGTATATAGAATATGTAGAAGTTTCAAAAGAACATTTATTGAATTAAAAAATATATATATTTTTTTAAAGAAAAAAAATTCTTTAAAAAATGCTATTACTGACCACAACTGTGTAAATATATATACAAATACACACAAAGTGAGCCACATTTGTCTAAATGTGACAATTTCCCCTTTTTATTAACCAAGTTTCACATTGGAGTTCACAAAAAGAAACTTAAAATATTTTGCAAATTTAATTAGCAAATTTCAGATTTTTCTGGATAAGTTCACACAGCTTTCTATATCTAGATTCTCAGACTGAGCTGGACTGCAAAAGGAGCAGAACTTTGGTTTAGGTATCTAACTTTAAGCAGGTGGCACTAATGTGTTGTAACTGTAAGATTATGTTGAGAGATGGAACCATGAGATTGTGGCAGGGCCTGAAGGAGAGGCGAGAGAGTGTGCAGGGATGCGGTGGCACAGATAAGACCATGAGTGATCCTCATAAGGTGATTACAGGGGCCACAGAAGAAGCAGAAAATTGTGGCGTGTGAGTGGTTTAGTCTGAGTGTGAGTGAGCTCTGCCTGGCATTGGAAGTGGTGACATGGTATAGATGCCAGTGGCTGTTTGTGGACACTCCACGGGGTCCTGATGAGATTCAGCAGGGCATGAGAAGCCCCCTGTGCCCACCGTCCTGCTGGGTGCTAAAAATAGCCGTGATCTACCCACCTCACATCTGCTCATCTTCCCGGAGCTGGGCACCTCTCACAAGGCCCTCCGTCACCCAGCAGCAGCTTACTCAACAGGAGCCAGTAAAGGCATCTCTGCTGCCGGTGGAAATGTGGGTTGTGAGGTCATACACATAGTTGTATTATTGGTTGTAGCATGGAAACATGTAAGAGAATTTCAAGATTAAAGAGGTTGATTAAGAAAGGCCTTCAGGTGTGGTAAGTTCTCCTAGTGTTTTAGCATTGAGAGTGAATATGAAAATATAATTTATTTTAATATAAATGTATCATTAATATTTGTAACTGTAATTGTATTCATTTATTATTTAATTTTATATTAATGTTGTATATAATATGCACTATTGTTCAGTATTCATATTATATACCATTGTTATTACCCAGGTCTCTTGTGCTCATTAAGGCTTACCAAAATAAAGCAAGAAGAATAGTAGTTATAAAAATATTTAGTTTGAATATATTTTAAAATGTAATTTATTCCTGTGATGGATATTTCCAGCAGCCATTACTCCAGTCTTTAGTGTCACATGATCCTACAGAAATCATTCTAATATACTGATTTGGTGCTCAGGAAACATTTCTTATTATTGTTAAAATGTTAAATGCTGTTAATGTTAAAAACAGCTGTGCTGTGCAATATTATTGTGGAAACCGTGACTTTTTTCAGGAGCATTTGATGAACAGAAATATCAAAAGAAAAGCACTTATTTAAAATGGAGATCTTTTGTAATATTATAATTTACTGTCACTTATATCACTTATAGTGCAATTTTTTTTATATACTTTCTAATACTTTTACTTATGGGAGCCATCATTTCAGTCAAATTGCCATTTTTGCCAAGTAGATTAAACATTTTAAAACAGTAAATCTAGTTATAAATAATCTAAGCATGTTTTTTACTATGTTTTTCACTAAGCACAAGGAAGGATGATATTTAATAATTATATACATAACAAAATGACGTAATAAGAATTAATGATTATCTTTTACATTTTAATATTTGAAAAACACCATTCCAGACTTTCATTAACATTTGTATTGATAAAAACATCTGCTAAATTACTACTTGCTTACCACGTATACTGTTTTAAACCGTGATTATATATCTCTTTTTTCCCTCTCTTTTTAGTATCCAACTGAGGCCCCAGATTTTTCTGCAGATCTTCCTGTTCCGTTGGTCATCACATGAACCTCTCAGGTACATAGTCGTAAAATTACTTAACTTTTTGAATAGAAAAAAAAATTGTTATTGAAAAGTTGATTTGGCTTTTTATCATATTACCAAAATTGTCCTTTAAAAAAAAAACAAACAATTAAAGTACAATGTTTTTAATTAACAAAGTTTCTTGGCATTTGAAGGTGTGTTTTTCTTGATAAAAGTTGTTCCGTTCCACCGCCGCTTTGATGTTGCTTCCATAAAAAACAATAACTCCACTCACAAAGGCTCAAACTGTGCCAAATAAACCGACAGGACGGCGATCTGGAAAGCTACATATGTTAGCGGCCTCTAATGAGCCTCGACGAGTTTCCTCTTACGTTTAACAATTAAAAGCGAGAACGGAGACCCATTTTTCACTGTTGTTTTCTTTTTATCATCGTCCTCTGTTTTCGCCTCCTCCCCTGAAAAACAGGCTCCTCTTCAGTCATACGTTTGCTCCAATTACTTTGAGGTGGATGAAAGCGACTTGGCATATTGCACAGCAGTGGTGTGAGTTAGGGAGGGTTGTGCGTTGTGTTGGGTGAGGGATGGCAGTGGAACATGGCTCTCTGACAGAGAAGACCAGCTCAGCACACAGCAGCCTTCTGTCGGCTGAAGTCCTGCTGCGCTGCTGATGTCTTGATGCATCTCCTCTGTTCAGGGAAGAGAAAGGCCTGTCTGCCTGCCTCTCACGTACATTTGAATGAGTAATGATTACCTGCGCTCAACTGACTGTGTGTGTGTGTGTGTGTGTGTGTGTGTGTGTGTGTGTG